ATACCAAACTAAGAAAAATAAAAACATAAGCAGTTTTGCAAAATTAAAGGCATCCATCCTAATATTGGAAGGAAAATCAAATATTCATTATCGAGGAGAATCAAAGGTTATATATGTATTCGCTTCATGCATTTGAAAAATATCGACAAAACTAGGATTTAAAATGTCAAATTCAATTATAATTGCAATGCTCTCTTGTTTGATAAGGAAAAAAATGGGAATTAAACAAAAACATATAGACAAATCTGGTAATCTTCAACAGGAACATATGATTTCTAGGAGAGAAGAAAGTATAATCTAAATGATGAATCTTCACAAGTGCGAAACCTGAAATATTGGTAATTAGTTATAGCTGTAAATTCAAAGTTAACATACCTAACTCTAGATTTCTGGACAAGCTTTTTAAATGACTTCTAACCATCGATTGCACTTGTTGCTTTACCTCTTTAAGTTGTGGTGGCAATATACGAACATCATTTATAACGTTTGATCTGCTACTGAAAGGATGGGGATGTAGAGAAAATCCCAAATTTCACTAGTTCGGTCGGTTTATAAAAAATGAGGAATCTGGTATTCTCGATTTCAATATCGTAGATGCTTTTTGTCCGGTAAGATGATATATAACAGCAAGTTACAGTCGTACAACTAATTGGATAATAATGGAATGAACAACAAATCAACTATTCAATTTACTGCAATAAATAATAGAACGAATAATTGAAATTGCAGGAAATGAAATTTCAAACCGAAACCTGTGTTACACACAGTTTCCTTAAAACAGATTCGCCCTCTCACCGTCCGTGCTTGAGGTTTAAAACGAGCGTCCGTTTCCCAGGATACAACGGTAAAACCAGTAGCTTCCGAGCACCGCAGAAACCACTCCGACGAACTGAATTAGTGCCTAAACTACACCACCACCAAGACAGAAATGCAGAAAAGACAGAACTCTATGCAAATGAATTTCTTGTGTATTCTAAACTTGAAAGCTTTTGCTTTGGTGTGTTGAAATGAGGAAAATGAGCCACTATTTATAGGCTAGGCTACCATTAATAGTAATGACCTTTGGAGTTTCTCATCTTTTTCCTATGTGGGACAAATTCATTTTTCCCACATAAACTCCCTTTTAAATGGCACACTTTGAGCCTCAATTTCTTATTTACCCGATCATCATCTTTGGCAAGTAAGTATATGATTTCGATGTATTCACGGAGGAGAACACAAATCAACTTTCATCTTCCAAATTGAACAATCGGGTCCCACTCAAAACTCGTGCCAAAGTCGGATCATAACTCAGTTTTTTTTCCCAACAGGGGATGCTGATGAACTAACCGCAAAACAAGCTTAGAATTGATCTCTGCATATTCATTTCGTGCAAGTTTGCCAAAAGAGTGATCTGTGGACGTAGAAGCTTGATTGGGAAGCATCTGCACCCTCAACTGCTAAATCTCGAAGAAAACACTTCCCTACTACACAATGAAGCTGTGGTATTGTCCCGTAAACTTCCTTGATGATACATATTTCGTGGCACTATTCTCTGAAGCTACTGTATGTTTCGGGTGCTAATTCCCTAGCCCGACCTGTTTGCGGACCAAATAGACTGTTCCTTGTTATTCTGGCTGTACCATTAGTTTTGTCTGGTTGTCTATCTCTGTTGTTAAGAAGTTGGTTTATCTGACGTCGTATTCAGTGTCTTTCAAAAACTGTATACGCTCCCAATCCAGTGATAGGTAGAAGTTGTGAAATATCATTTTTCACTCAAATAAACAAATTTTCATTAATTACACAATATATAACTAGTACAATAGAGTAATTCTCTCTCAAAAGCCCTCTTATAGAAACATGGAAATTTCTCTTCTATCCAATAGTTTAAAATACATGCCAATACATCTATATATAAGAAAAAACTAAAGAAGTGTTCAAGATGATCAAGTAACTCTCTTTAACCTCCTTTAGTAGAAGAAGTATTCAAAATGCTTAAATAACTTCCACCTCGTTTAGAAGAAGAGTTCAAAATGGTTAAGTAACTTCCACCTCCTTAATAGAAGAAGAGTTCAAATGGTTAAGTAACTCTTTCAATAACTCTCGACCGAGTCTTTCCATAACCATGTAAAATTCTTCTATCCAATAAAAAACTTTTGCTCAATCAGTTTGAATTTTGACTAAGTCATATATTCATCTTCATACTTCTTGATAATCTTGAACTTCTTCTTATTTCTAGAATTTCTTTGGTCAAGTTTACACTACTTTCAACATCCCCCTTAAACTTGACCATCCCAAGCATAAATTTCTATCTAGTAAACACATCATGATTTAGTGGCTTGGTAAAAATATATGTTGCTTGATCATTTGTTTTGCATGATAGTAGCTCCACTTCTTTTATCTTTATGTGTTCCCGGATAAAATGAAAATGTGTGTCTATATGTTTGCTTCTTTCATGATGGACTGGATTGTTTGCAAGTGCAATTACTGATCGATTATCAACATAAATCTTAGTAGAATTTTCTCGAGGGGATCCCAAATATGTGAGCATATTGCGCAACCAAATAGCATGACATACAGTTGAACTTGCAGCAACATACTTAGCTTCACAGCTGGATAAAGTAACAATTGGTTGCGTTTTGGATGACCATGTGAATGCAATTTCTCCAATAAAAAATAAGAATCCAGTTGTACTTTTTCTTTCATCTATATCTCTTCCTCAATCACTATTTGAATAACCAGTAGCTTAAAATCATTAGTAGATATATAAAGTAAGCCTTCACTAATTGTACCTTTAAGATAGCGGAGTATTCTTTTTGCTGCATTAAGATAGGATTGATCTGGTGTCTCCATGTATTTGCTGATCAATCCTACATATTTCAAGAGCTTGGTTGGAAGCCTTAAATATCTAACATGCACCAGACCGGAACAAAACCTACGTCTAAAGCCGATGAATACGTATTAAGTGCAACTAAAAAGGCATCACTCAAGAAAGCAATGAAGAAAGATCAGAAGGCCCTGTATCTCATATATCAAACAGTAGATGAAGGGAATTTTGAAAAGATTGCTTCTATTACAAACGCAAGAGAAGCATGGGATGTACTTCAAAATTCATTTCGAGGTATCGAAAAGAGAATGAGAATTCACCTGCCTATGCTGAAAAGCGAATTTGAAATATTGGAGATGCTTGATAGCGAGTTAATCTCGAAGTATTTTACTTAAGTCCTGACTATAATGAACAATATCAAGTGCAATGGAGAAAAGATCAAAGATTTGCAGGTAATAGAAAAAATTCTTCGTTCTCTAAATTTGAAGTTTGATAATGTAGTCATAGCAATCGAGGAATCCAAAGACCTTAGTACTATGACTATTGATGAACTATTGGCTTCTCTAGAGATCCATAAACAATGGATCAATGAAAAAACTTCATCAAAATCTCTTGATCAAGCATTGCAATCAAATCTTTCTCTTCAAGAAAATAAAGGAGATGAAGGAAATTCACGGCCAAGTTGAGAAAGGGGCCGGTTTCAAAGAGGATGAGGTTTTA